GAAACTTATATATTTAAAATCATAAATACATTAATGAAGAATTTTTATAATTTTTTATTTTTTAATTTGAATTATAGTATACTCCCATTGGATCTTGAAAAAAAAAAAAAAAAAAAAAAAAAAAAAAGAAAGCAAATGAAGATAATAACTGATAAAATAAAAATATACTTAAAAAAAAAAACGTCTTTTTTTATTTACAGGAATTTAATAGTACTACTGAAAATTTAGAGAATATAGACAAAATAAATGAAATAAAAGAATCTGAAGAAGGCATATTTAAAAAAGATGAAAATGAAATAGAAAAAAAAAATTTTCTATATATATTTAATCCATTAGGGAAAATTATATTTCCTATATTTAAAAATATATATTATGCTATATCTACATTTTTTAAGTTATTAACTACTTTTATATTAACACCATATGATGAAAATAATTTTACATCTTATTATGAACATAAATATGGAAAAATGCATACTAATTTCTTCAAGGGAAACTTGAATGAAGCTATATTAAAATCAAGAAAAGAAGAAAAATTATTATTGGTTTATTTACACATAGATAATAATGAAAGTTCCTATTTCTGTGAAAACATTTTTAATAATTCTGAAATTAAAAGTTTTTTTGATGAAAATTGCATTTTATATGCTCAAGATATTTCAAAAGGAGATACAAAAGAGTTAAATAATATTCTAAATGTATTTATTTTACCTCAGATTAGTATTATACTGACATGTTATGTGAAAGATATAAAAGAATTAACTATTGTTTATGGGAATCCATCTGTTAATCATATAATAAATTCTATAACACATTGTATTGAACAAATGCAAGTTAAAAAAGAAAATTGTGAAAGCTTAAAATATAAAACTTATAATGATAGATTAATAAGAGAAGAGCAAGATAGAGAATATCAAGAGGCTTTAAAAAAAGACAAATTAATAGAAGAACAAAAAAAAAAAAAAGAGAATGAAAAATTAAAAAAAACACAATATAAAAAAGAAATAAAAAAAAAAAGAGAAGAAAATTGTAAAAAATTTCCTTTATCAATTAAAGAAAATGAACAAGTAACTGAAATTTCGATAAGATTATCAAATGGTACTAGAATTCAAAACAAATTTAGTGTAAATCATACTATAGAAGACATTTACGAGTGGGCTGAATGTTGTGAGTTTTTAGAAGAAAATATTAAAATTCCTTATAAATTTGAGTTAATTTGTGGTCACAGTAAAAGTATTTTACAAAAGGTAAAAAATAAAATAAAGGAATTTGATTTATATCCAAATGCTGTATTGAATTTGAAATCGTTAGATACATCTGATGAGGAATAAATAAGTAAAAATATTTTTTTTATTATAAACATAAGAAATATATGAAATATATAGACATATTATTAACTAAACCTAACAAAAAGGACTTATTACACATATATATATATATATATATATATATATATATATATATATATATATATATATATATATATATATATATTTACATTTATAACATTAATGAAGTTATTAAATAATGTTTCTTTTTTTTCAGTTTGTTATATATCTATTTTATAAAATATAATGAATATATTTTATTGGATATATTTTAAAAAAATCATATGAGAAAAATTAAGTAAATATTTAAAAAGGATCTAATTTTTTTTTATGTATATAGTTATTTATTCGTATATATTAGAAGATAATAATATAGATGTAATATAAGCACTGCATTAAAGACGATAAAAAAAAAAAAAAAAAAAAAAAAAAAAGAAATTAAAAGTAAAAATATAATAAATTAAAATTTTATTTATCATTTCATTTATATAATATATTATTTTTTCTTGTTAGTAGAATGAAATATTCCTGTGATTACTCATTATTATATTTATTAATATAACAAAAATATAAAGTAAACAATTGTTATTATATACATATAATTATTTATTTATAAAACTTAATAATATGGGAATAGAGTGTTTTATATATAATATTTTGAAGAAAGTTTTTAATAGTTTTATTCATTTTAATTATATATTCTGATATTAGTAATTTAAAAAAAATAAAACAATATATATTACTAAAAAATAAAAGAGAAACATTAATATATATATATATATATATATATGTATATATTTTTTTTTTTTTTTTTGTTGTAACATTAACGATTAAATAACGTAAAATATTTTAATTTTTTTTATTATTATTTTTTAACTTTTCCATTATATATTTTGTATTTTTTTTTTTTTTTTTTTTTTTTTTTTTTGTGCACATATTTGCACACACCACACTAAAATATTTTTAACTATATAAATATAACATTATTATTATGTTTTTTTAAAATTTGAATCATATATCTTTTAATTAAAAAATAAAAATACTAAAAAAAAAAATATATATTTTAATAATTTTATTTAAAAAGGTATATTTTCCTTTAAGAAAAAATAAAATATCTTTATCTTAATAAAAAAAAAAATTCTTCAAATAATCATATATAAAAAAAATAAAATAAAATAATAAATAAAAAAACAGAAAGTATAATTATATATTATTTTTTTCATGATTTAATCACTTTTTTTTTTTTTTTTTTCTAAAATTTAGATAGTTATATATATAAATAGAAACGTTAGATACAATTATTCACATATATATAATAATTTTCAGACAAAAAAATTATAATTAAAACTTCACCTACCTATTAAATTAAACTTATAAAAAAAAAAAAAAAAAAACAGTATAAGTATTAAAAAGCCTTATAATAAGTATACAGTAAAAAAATATTATATATATAAATATATGAATATAATTTAAAATATCGATAATAATATATTAAAAAATTTTTTAGACAAAATTTTCCTAATTTAATAAAAAACTCTTTTATATTATTATAACACATAAATATAAAGTTATAAATACGTAGTTGGATAAATGAAATAAATAGAACTAAATGAAAAACTTTTATATAGTAATAAGAAATACTTAATTTTATAAATAATTAAGTCATTTTTTTTTAAATATATAATAGATAATTATAACTTAAAAGTAAAAAGGAAAAAAATATAATGAGATATTTTAAAAATAAATGACATTTTAAAACTCACAATGTTTATTATAAAATTAAGATAAATTTAACATAAGTTTAGAAATTTTGAATATCCTAAGTTTCCTTTTAGAAATATAATAATTTTAAAACTTTTTAGAATTTAATGAAATCTAAATAAAAATAATTTTATCCTTTTATTAAATTTTTTTAAATAATTTTTACAATTATATTCTATTCATCAATATACTCTTACTATTTTTATATTATGTTATTAGGCATATATATATATATGTAATAATCTTATTTTGTAACACTTTTATGTTTCTTATATATATATATATATATTTAACATTAACATTTTTAGTTAAATAAACTTTTTTTCTTAATTAAAAAAAGTAATTTCTATGCATAATTTTTTTTTAGTTACAAAAATGTCTAGATTCATACACTTTAAATAATACATTAGAATTATTTAAAATGTTATTACAAAATAAAAATATAAATATATTAGATAAATTAATTAAAACTATTAAAGACGTAAAAATATAATATCTATTCTATTTCAAAAAAAATAAAGTTAAATATAATTATAGATATAATTATTTGTTTATTCCTTTTTTTTTTTTTTTTTTTTAGGTTAATTTTTTATTATATTTCCTTTAAATTCCATGTATTTATAGCTTAAAAGTTCCTTAATTTTTGTATTTATTTATTTATTTTTTTTATCTGTTATAAATTATGAGAACTGAAAATATTATTATAAAAAATTTTAGAAAAAAAAATTGGTATTATTAAATGCACTTCACATTTAATTTAAATCACTAAATTCTGTTGAGATAGTGCAAGTAAAGTGTAAAAGTAATACTTTTTTTTTTTTTTTTTCTCTTTGAATTCTTTAAACTTAGAAAAATAAATATATACATATATATAAACATATGTGTATGTATTAAAAAAATTACAAAATAGCTGTTTATGTATTTTGATTTGCTTTTTTCTTTTACACCTTTCTGATTTATTCTACTTTATGAATTTTGTTTTTTGTATATTTTTTTTTTAGTAAATTTTTTTTTTAATATTAATGGAAAATACAAATATTTTTTTTATTCCTTATTATATTTATTAAAAAAACAAATGTAACGAAAATGATGAAATTTTTTAAAAGTTTACAGTTAAGTAAAAAAAAAGCAAATAGTGAAAAAAAAATTTCTAGAAGGAAAAGTAAAATGAAATATGAAGATTTCAATTTTATTCGTACACTTGGCACCGGTAAAAATATTATTTTATTTTTTTAAAAAATATAAAATTACAAAAATATAAAAATATTAATATATGTATAGTTTTTTACTTTATACAGCAAATATAAAAAATAATTATTAGTATTTTTTTTTTTTTTTTTTTTTTTATTCTATATATATAACAATTTTCATTTCTGATGATTTTTTAAAATGTTAAGGCTCATTTGGAAGAGTAATACTTGCAACATACAAAAATGAAGATCTTCCTCCAGTAGCAATTAAGAGATTTGAGAAATATAAAATAATAAAACAGAAGCAAGTGGATCACGTGTTTTCAGAACGAAAAATATTGAATTACATTAATCATCCTTTCTGTGTAAAAAAAAAAAAAAAAAAGAAAAAATTCTTATTATAGTTTTTTTTTTTTTTTTTTTTTTTTTCATAAAAGACATGTTTTTATAAATTATAAAATTAGTATTTAAAAACAATATTTTGTATTTAATTTTTTTTTTTTTTTTTTTTTTTTTTTTTTATAGGTAAATTTATATGGCTCATTTAAAGATGATTCATATTTATATTTAGTATTAGAGTTTGTAATAGGAGGTGAATTTTTTACTTTTCTAAGAAGAAATAAAAGATTTCCAAATGATGTTGGATGTTTTTATGCAGCTCAAATTGTTTTAATTTTTGAATATTTACAAAGTTTAAATATTGTTTATAGGTAATAATAATATATATATATATATATATATATATATATATTCATTTTTTTTTTATTTACACATATGAATAAATTTTTTTCTTTTGAAGAGATTTAAAACCAGAAAATTTGTTACTTGATAAAGATGGATTTATAAAAATGACTGATTTTGGTTTTGCTAAAGTTGTAGAAACACGAACATATACATTATGTGGAACACCTGAATATATAGCACCAGAAATTTTATTAAATATAGGACATGGAAAAGCAGTATGAACATAATTCAAAAAAAAAAAAAAAAAAAATATAACTATTAAAATATTTATAAATTCTTATATATATATATATATATATATATACTTAATTATAGGCAGATTGGTGGACTTTAGGAATTTTTATTTATGAAATCTTAGTTGGATGTCCTCCTTTTTATGCTAATGAGCCTTTGTTAATTTATCAAAAAATTTTAGAAGGAATAATTTATTTCCCCAAATTTTTAGATAGTAATTGTAAACATTTAATGAAAAAATTATTATCTCATGATTTAACAAAAAGATATGGTAACTTGAAAAAAGGAGCCGAAAATGTTAAAGAACATCCATGGTTTAGAAATATTGATTGGAATAATTTGTTAAATAAAAATGTTGAAGTTCCATATAAACCAAAATATAAAAATATGTTTGATGCATCCAATTTTGAAAAAGTAGAAGAAGATTTAACTACAGCTGACAAAATTACAAATGAAAGTGATCCGTTTGTTGAATGGTAGATACATAGAACAATATTACACAAATTTTTATTACCAAAATTTTTTGTTTTTGTTTTTATAATTTTATTTGAATATTTTAATTATTTTATATATAATTATATTTTTGAGTTGGTTTCACATCAATATATTTCATTGGGTAAAATTTTTCACAGATTTTTTTTTTTTTTTTTTATATATAATTGTCTTTCTTGTTTAAAAAAAAAAAATATATTTATATATATATATATTTATATATATATATATATATACTAATTCTTTTATTCTTCAATATTTATTTGTCATATTTCATTAGTGCATTATACATTTATTATTATATTTTTTACTTATTATTAAAACAAATTAAAATAAATTAATATATAAAAATGTAAAAAGAAAAAGAAAATTTTGTGAAAAGAATAATAAAAAAAAAATGATGAGAAATTTTAAGGAAAAAAAAAAAAAAATATATATATATTCCCTTAAAACACAATTTATTCTTCCGATTAAAATGTATTTCATAATAGTGAGAATAAAAATTTATAACAGCATCATAATTCTTTTAATTTTGGAATTTTTTTTTTTTTTTAAAGCATATTTAATTGTTATAAAAATAAAATGAAGTATAATAAATTATGTTAGTATAAGTATTTCAATATACTTATTTATATAATAAAAAAAAAAATTTAGTAAAATAAAAAAATAGTTTAATTTTTGTCTTATCCTTTTTTTTTTTATCTTATTAAACATAGATAATTATAAAAATAAGAAATGTTAAGTATATTAATTAGAATACATAAATAAATAATTAAATACATATATAAGTATATATATATATATATGTATATATTTATCTAATAGTTATATTTTTAAATTTTAAAACTTTGATTAATTCGTTAGGTATTTCTTTTACTTTTATGTAACATGTTTCTTTTTTTTTTACATTTCCTATTTCTTTTTTATTTGAATTAACTTTATATATATAGTTACAAAATGAAAGTATGTTTTTTTTAGGTATGTTAATTTTTTTTGCTTTTCTAACATTTTGATTTAAGTCATTTTCTTTTATTTTATAATTATTTAACAATTCAAAATAATTTTTATATTTTAATTCTTTATTACAAAATTTATTTGCATTATTAAATATTTCTGAATATTTATACAATTTAACATCTACTTTAATTAATTTATAATCATATTTATATGAAGAATAATATTTTCCGAATATTTCAAAAGAAGATGGCCCACAATATGAAGTTAAATTTTCTTTAGCTGGAATTTTGGGTAAAAATCTCAATTTTTTGTCTATTGCTTCTATTAAATCATCTAAAAAAAAAAAAAAAAAAAAAAAAAAAAAAATATATATATATATATTTGTATTAAGATATAGAAGAATCAATACTAACAATAGGCATAAATAAAACTTATATACATTGTTTTTATACATTATTAATTTTAAAAAAATTATAAAAAAGTAATAATATAATAAGATTTATGGTATAATTCTAATTAAAAAATATATATAAAAAATAATATATATATATATATTTTACTATTACTAACCATTGTTATTAAAATAAAAAATATTGGGGAACAATGATTTATATTTATCTTTACTACAAATTTTTTTTTTGAAAAGAAACATTTCTTTCATTCTTTTATAAAGTAAAAGTTCTATTAAATCTAACATATGTTCTGCATTTTTTTCTAAAAAATCATTTTTTTTTTGTTGTCTTTTAATAGAAAGAAAAATACATTTAATATATTCTTCACGATCATGTTCTTCATTGTTTAAATTTCCTTCTTCTTTTAAATATTTTATTTTAGAAGCAGAAAGAGATTCACAAATAGACGAACTTTTAAACATATGATTAAAAAAAATATCTCTATTTGAATTTTTTTTTTTTTTGTCTTTTAAATTATCTTTTTGTTTTTCTTCTTTTTCTTTACCTTTTATTTTTTTATAATATATATTACTAAAATTTTTTATTTTTTGTTTATAATAATTTTTTTTTTTTTTTTCTATTTTAAATGTTTTACTCTTTATTAATTTTTTTTTTTTAAAGGTATTATATTTAGAATAAACTGTTGTATAACTTTTTTCATAAAATTCATTACATATGTTTTCATCTTTTCTTGTTATAGAAGTATAAGTGTAGTTTTTAAGTGGATACAGATTTTCATTAAATATACTGAAGCTTTTATCATAGGTATCTTTAGAAAAATTTAAAATGTTACTGCTTTTCATTCTTATAATTGGATATAAATTTTCGTTTTTTATAAATGAATTGTCATTTTCACTCATGCTTTTGAAGTATTTATTTTTCTTACCTTTTATGTATTTATTTTTTATAAGATTTTCATTGTTTGATTTCTTATATATTTTGTCACTATTATTTGATGAATTTGATAAATAATATCTTTTTAAATAATTATTTGAAAAATCAAAGGAATTACTACCATATAAAATGTTATTAGATATATTATTTATTTTATTAATAGAACTAGAAAATATATGATTTTCTCTTTCTAAATCTACATAATCATATTTTAATGTTTTTTGTTTTATCTTATTATTGATATTTGAAGAACTTAATGATTCTACTAGACAATTATATATATCAGAATTATTCATAGATTTTACCTTATATTGTTCTCTAAGTTGAATAATTTTTATTATATTTATATATTTTTTTTCATCTTCACTTATGTTTATATGTTCTGAAGTTTCTCCTAACATTTTTTCTTTTTCGTAGTAATAAATGCAAATTTGGTTTTTAAAAATGTAAACATCAAAAATGTCTAATTATTTTTATAATATTTAATTATATAATTCTTATAAAAAAAAAAAAATAAAGTTGATTATACTTTACATTAAAAAGAGTTGAAAAAAAGAGAGAAAAAAAAATTTGTTTTTCCTAAATATATTTTTTTGAGAAATTTTCAATTATAAATAAAATGAATATTAATAAAATTTTAGATATATTGTTACATATAATTTTTTTTTTGTTGTGTATATATATATATATATATATATATATATATATATATATATATATATATATATATATAGATAATTACATACATAAGCATATTTTGTAGTGATATATAGAATAACATATATGTAATAGATATTCTTAAATTTTTTTAGAAAAACATTAGAGATAATTAATAAGAATTATTTTAACATTTATTTTTTCATTTTTTCTTATTTCATGAATTTATATATAAGAATAAAAATCTTTTTAGTTTATTCAAAAAAATTATTAAAATAATGCTACTATAAAAATAGAATAAAATGTTTACATATATATATATATATAATGGATGAAAAATTTTTATATATTTTATTATTTTAATTTTATTGAAAAACATACACATTTTATTTTTCTATATAATGCATGTTAATTGAAATAATATAATTTTCTTAATTATAAGAAATTTTAAATATTTCGAAAAATAATCATAACTTAAAAATTATTATTGAAATAACAAAAATTAAGTAAAATAGTTTATTTTTTAAAAAAAAAAAAAAAAAAAAAAAAAAGTGTCTTTATTATACATATGTAAAAGTATAAAAATTTATATTCATTAATGTTATGTGTGTGTTTTAATAAAAAAAAAAAATATTTTTAAAATATATATCTTTAAAAAAAAAAGAAATTAATTAGACCAAGAAATTTTTATAGGATGTTGTGGTGTAATTTTAAAGTTTTGCAACCCATTCATGGCAATTTCTCCATTCTGATAAGAAGTGAAATCAATAAAAGCAACATTTCTACCTGGTATATATCTAGCTTCAAAATAGCCAGGATATTGATTAAATAAAATTTCTAATGCATTTTTATTTATTTCATTAGGTAAGTTTTGAACAAATAATGTATATAAATTAGTTTTATTTTCATAATTATTTAATGATTTACATGTTTTAGTTGGTTTATATGTTCCTTCTAATTTCTCAATTATTCTTGATTTTGTTTTTGCATAATTAATATTTATATTCTTATTTAAAAATAATTTACCTTTTAAATTTTTACAAGCTAAAGTTGATGAAGCTATATTATTAAAAACAATAAAAGCTTGCCCTCTAGATCTGTTTGATTTTTTTAAAACTATATCTATTATACTCCCATATGGGCAAAAAAATTCATATAATAAAAATTTCAAGTCATTTACATTTATTTTATCTTCTAAATTATTTACATACAAAGTTTGATTTGGAGGAATATCGAAATTTTCCATTATTTTTAAAAAAAAAAAAAAAAAAAAAAAAAAAGCTAAAAACTGTATTTTACTTCTTTTTTAATTTATATAATATATATTTAAATATATAAAATTATCGTAAAAATAAATTAACAAAGGCTAAAATTACACAAGCTATTGATACATAGATTGATAATCTGTCACCAATAATAGCAAATTTGCCTAAAGTACCTAAAAATCCACTTTTCTTATTATCAAAAATATTAGGAAATTTTGGTTTTAAATAAGTACATGTACATATACATAATATTATGACTGTTATCATAGATTCCAAATTAAATAATGCTGACATTCTTTTTTTTTTTCTTTTTAATTTTATTTCAATATTATTTTTTTTTTTAAAAATTTTTAACTCCTAAAAATTGTCATATAATAATAATTTCTCCTTTTTCATTATAATGTATTAAAATAAATAATAAATAAAAAAAAAAAAAAAAAATTTCAATAAGGTTTGCTAATTTAAACTAAAAAAAAAAAATTTCAAAAAAAATTTCAAAAAAAATATAAAATAAATTTTTTTTAAACTTCATTTAATATATATAAAAAAAAAAAAAAATAGATTATTTATAGTTTTATGATTTAAAAAAAAAAATAATAAATTTATGATTTCTTAAAAATAATATTTTCTTAAATATTTTTTTTTTTTTTTTTAAATTTTAAAGCTTAATTTTATTTAAAAGATACTAATTGTAAAATAAAATATATAATAAATAATACTCTATGAAATATAGCAAAAGTATTTTTGTATCTTCTTTAAATTTATTTATTATATATTTTCCTATTTTTACACAGTAAAAGTATTTTACTTTATTTTAATGATTTGTATAATTATTAAACAAAATGTTATTTATTCTAAGAACAAAACAGACAAGTTATAAAAAGGAAAGTAAATATTATATTTGTTGTTCTAATAAAAAATTATATTTTAAATGATTTTGAATATATATATAATTTAAATAAGTTAAATATTAAAAAAAAAAGTATAATTTTATAGAACATAAAAAAATAGCATATCTAATATTCATGTTGAATGACAAAATTCATTAAATTATTTATCCTTATTTAACTAAAAAATCATTTTTAAAAATATAAAATTACAATTAAGAAAAAGGATTCAAATGTGTGTATATTAGATAAGTGGAACGATAATTTTGTATGTTATATTTAAAAAAATTAAGAAAAAAAAAAAAAAAAATATATATATATATATATATATATATATATATATATATAATTTTATAAGAATATTTGGAAAATTAAATTATTTTAAAAAATATAATTTTAAATAATAATAAAATTGATAAAAATGAAATAGTACTTTTAATAATAACTAAGTAAAAAAAAAATAATAAATGAAATTAAGTATAATTTATATTAACAAAATAAAAAGAAGAAATTACAGATATATGTTATATTTATATTATTTTAAATATTACAGATTTATTCGTTTTTATACATAAAAAAAAAAAAAAAATTTAAAAAAATATGGAATTTTAGAAAATTCTATTATTATTGTTTACATTTATGTATTTAATACAAAAAAATTGAAAAATTATGAATTATATAAATGTATATATTTATAAACATAATTTTTTTCACAAATTCATAGATTGTAAAATTTTCTTAGAGCTAATAATTTCAGTTGTAAAAATTAAATAATTATAATTTTCACATTTTTCGTTTAGCTTTCTAATGGAAGCAATTTCTGCATATGAAATTCCTCCAATATAAAAAAGTATAATATTTTTTTTTTTGTTAAATTTTTTTTTTTTTTGTTTTATTTCAAAGTTTTCATATCCAACAGAATTTTGAATTACATCTAATGTCGGACCATTTAGAAAATTAAGTACTTCTGGAATAATTTGTAAATTATTTTTTAAGACATTCATATATTCAATTAGTCTAACTGATAATGGAGCATATCCATTACATACATAAGAAATATCATTTATCTCATTAGATAATAAATTAAAATGGTTTTTTAAATTATTCCATATAAATTTTTGTTTCGATTGATATTTTAAAATGTTGCAAGTGTGTAATTTATTTAATCTAGTTAATTCATTTATTCCATATTGCTCTACAATATCTTTTTTAATATCATTTATGTAATTTTCGTTAAAACCATTTGTTATAATTGAAAATAAACATAATATTCTATAAACTTCATATATATCTTCTCCTGTGTATATTAACAATTGAATTTTTTTTAGTATATTTAATAATTTACTTTTATTAGTATTACTATTTAACTGTATTATTTCATCTTCTAATTTTAATTTATCAAAATTTTTTTCTCTTTTTATAGTATTTAAAATAAATGAAGCTATATTTACATGAGTTGACAATGAATTATGTTCATAATGTTTTGCTTTGAATTTTCTCATATATTCATTAATTTGTTCTATATCTTTTAATTTGTCTTTTTCTTCGTATGTTTTTTGAATTTCGCTTGCTTTTTTGTGTAAAAATCTTCCAATCTCATTTTGACTTAAATCTTTTATATCATTATATAACACATCTACAGAACTTTTTAATTTTACTCTGACCTTCATACTATTTAAATCATCAAAATTTTTTTCATTTTTTTTTGATACACTTTTTTCATCATTAAAAATAATGTATCTTGGAATTTCTATTTGTAAATTATCAATGCCAAATAAATGATCAATCAATCCTTCATATGTGAATGGTGTACAAAAAGGAGTAATCATATCAATTTTTCTGTCAATAATAATACATGAGTCTATATTGTAACACACATTTAATAAAAAATTAAAATTAGTAATTCCTATTTTTTCTAATAAATAATTTTTCTCTTTTTTATATTCCTTCTCCATTTTTTTTCTATCTTTTTTTTTCATAAAATATTTTGTATTATCTATTTTGTTCATAAAATTGTGTGTAATTGTTGCAGATTTTTTTTTTTTTTTTCTTTTGTATTGTTTGTTTTTTTTCTTTTTTTTTTTTTCTTCTTCTTCATCTTCATCTTCATCTTCATTTTCATTTTCATTTTCATTTTCATCTTCTCCTTCTTCTTCTTCATCTTCCTCTTCTTCCTCTTCTTCCTCTTCTTCTTCTTCATTTTCATTTTCATTTTCATTTTCATCTTCTTTCTCTTCTTCTTCTTCTTCTTCTTTTTCTTCTTCTTCTTCTTCTTTTTCTTCTTCTTTTTCTTCTTCTTCTTCTTCTTCTTCATCTTCTTCTTCATCTTCTTCATCTTTATCTTCATCTTCTTCATCTTCATTTTCATTTTCTTTTCCTTTTTCTGTTATCTCCTCAGTTTCTTTTCTTTGTCTACTTTTATTTTTTTTTAATCTATTACTATTAATAAGTTTACAGTTTTTTTTATTCACTCCATATATTTTTTCCATTTTTTTAGCACTAAAAGAATTACTCTTTAAAGAAACATTATCTGAATATTCAATAACGTTGTCATTCAAATATTTATCTTTTTGCGAATTTGTATTTTTTTTCATTTTCTTTTTTTTTTTTTCATTCATATTAGTACCTTTTATTTGGATATTTTTGTTTTTTGAGAATTTAATTTCTTCTGTTTTATTTATATCATCAATAAAATTCATTTTATCTTTATTGCTATTGTAATCACAGATGTTGATAAATTTATCATGAGAATTGTACTTTTTTTGATGAACATTATTCTTAATATTACTGTTGAAGTAGTAATAGTTATTTTTATTATTAATATTGTAGCTCGTATTTTTTTTTCTTTCATCTTCTTTATATTCTTTATCTTCTTCTTTTAGCTTTTTTCTTATTTCTTGATGTTCTTTTTCTTCTACATATTCTCTTACATATTTGTTCTCGTGTTTATTATTTTGATCATAATATTTATCTTCAATTATTTGTTCTACTTTTTTTTTTGATTTATCATCTTCTATAAAATTTTTATCTTCTTCGTAATTTTTTCTCCATTCCTCTTCTCTTATATTTTTCTTTTTCTCCTTCATGTAATTTTCTTTTTTCATATTTTCAACAGATTCTTCCTTTTCTTCCTTTTTTTCATTTTCTTTTTCTTCCTCTTCCTCTTTCTTTTTTTCTTTTTCTTTGTCTTCTTCATCTTTTTCTTCTTCTTTTTCTCTTTCATCTTCATTTTCATTTTCTTTTTCTTTTTCTTCTTTTTCTTCTTCTTCTCCTTCTCCTTCTTCTCCTTCTTCTTTTTCATTTTCATCTTCTTTCTCTTCTTCTTCTTCTTCTTCATCTTCATTTTCATTTTCATTTTCATTTTCATCTTCATCTTCATTTTCATTTTCATCTTCTCCTTCTTCTTCTTCTTCATCTTCATCTTCATCTTCTTCTTCCTCTTCTTCTTCATCTTCATCTTCTTCTTCCTCTTCTTCTTCATCTTCCTCTTCTTCTTCATCTTCCTCTTCTTCTTCTTCTTCATCTTCATCTTCTTCATCTTCTTCATCTTCTTCTTCCTCTTCTTCTTCATCTTCCTCTTCTTCTTCATCTGCTTCTTCATCTTCCTTATACTCTCTATGAAGATATTGTTTTTTTTTCTCTTTTTGTTCCTTTTTTTTGTCATATAATTCTGTTTCATCCTTATCTTTTTCTTTGTCTTTTTTTCCTTTTTTTGTATCCTCATAAATTTTTATATTTCTACTATTTTTTTTTTTTTTGCAATTTTCTTCACTTGAGGAAGTTGATTTTGTGTTAATTTTACTTTTATCTTTTCTTTTTTTTTTTAAGAATTTTTTATGTGTTTCTTCTGATAAAAAAATTTTATGTAATGCATATTTAATTGGAACAACAACTGGTTCATTAGATTTTTTAATATTATTTAAATCTTGAAAATTTTGTAAGTTATTTAAAATATCAAAAAAATCATCCTCAAAATTATTTGGTGATTGAATGTTAAAATTTTTAGATACTATTTCTTTTCTTAATTGTATTAAATGTTCGCATACAAATTGAGATAAATATCCTATAGATTTTATATTTTTAAATACTCCATTAAAAAGAAATTGAAGATACATTAAGCTGAAAGAACAAAATATTAAATTAGTAAAATCATTATCAACGTAATATTCTTTAAATACATTTTTTACTTCTAAACTATATACATCATTATACAAGGGTATAAAATATAGAGGAAATATAATTATTTTAATAAAAACATCAGGAATGTTATTCTTAAGGATTTCTTGTTCACATAAATAACTCATATAAGGAATAAATATAAATGCATATTCCTTATTAGTAGATTTTACTTTTTCTATTTTTTCAATGATTTTAAATATTTTTTCAATTTCATAAAAGTAGGGACGTATAATAAATAATACATTGGATATATTTTCTAACTTATTTACATTAACATCTTTTTCGTTACACATTAAAAGAATTGATTCTATTTGTTCTTTGTTTATATCTTCTTCTTTTAATATAACATTTAAAATAATGTGTAATGATTTTTCAAAAAATATACATTTTTTTCCTTTAAATTTTTTTAATATATTTAATAATAGAATCCTTTGTTCTTCTTTTAATTCTCTTAAAATATTCATTTTTTCCTTTTTTACTACATGTATATATATATATACACTTTTATTGTATTTTTGGAATAAAATTTTTGTACAAAACTAAGAATATCTTTTCTTAAAATTGTTTTTATTTTTATTTTTAAGGTTTATCACTAATTTCTTATTTTTTATTTTCTTTTGAATTCTCATTTTGTTTTCGTTTTTTTATTATACATTTCATATTTTTTTTTTTTGTTTTTTTATTAACTTATTTAGCTTCATTTATTTTTATAATTCATATTTATGATTTCATAAAAATTAAAAAGGATATTTTTAAAAAAGTGTATAAAAAGCAAAATATTTTATTTTAATTTAATAAACAGTTAATTAAATGAACAAAACTAGTTTTTGTTTTAAATAGCAAAAAAAGAAAAAAAGAAAAAAAAAATTTTTTTATTAATGTAAATTATAAATTTTTGAAGAAATGATCCTAATAAAAAAAGTTTTAAGAGAATACTTAAGTTTATTTTTCCTTTTTTTTTTTTTTTTTTTTTTAAATTATATTTACATAATAAAATTTCATAGAATAAACAGTTAGATAACAATTATTATATGACATTCATTTTACATATTTTTTTTTATTTATAATGTCATCAATAAAAGAAGGTTATGCTTTTTTTACATTATATTTATCACAAATATTATGGAGTAAATATAAAAAAAAAAACAATAAGATAAAATATGAAAAAAGAATTCCCTATATTTAAAATTCAATTTGTATTTTTATTTTAAATTATATTTTTCTTTTAATTTTTATTGTAGCATTATATTTAATATGGGCTTTTGTATTTGATGATATTTTAAATTTACTCTATTTTCCATTTCCATCAAAGTATTTTAATAAAAAAAGAAAGAAATAAAATAAGTAATAATATAAATATGTTTTTTTTTTTTTTTTTTTAAACTATATAGGTATTGGGCAGCTATTATTCCAACAGCTATTCTTTTTTCTATTCTTTGTTTTTTTTTATTTATAGCTATATTTTCTTTAATTAAAACAGAACCTATAAATTCAATAAATTTAATTAAAGGTAATTATATTATGTTAATAGTAATTTACTTATTAAATATATGAGTAATTATTTTATTTTTTTATTATTACAATATTTTAATGAGTTTTTTTTTAATCTTCATGATATAATTTTCATATATATATATTTATATATATTTATATATATATATATTTATATATATATATATATATATTTATATATGTTTAAATTTTTCAAAAGATGAGCATTCTGTTTTTGAGGATAAACTTACAGAAAATTCAATGAATTATATGAACGATATAAAAATTGAGCAAATAAATAAATTACTATATGAAACTTCTTTATATTTTGAATAATTTTCATCTAAAAGAGTAAATAATTTATATAAAGTTTGTATTTTGTTAAATATTATTATAATAAAACATAAATTGGTTGAGAAAATAATTTAAAAATTTTTTTTATACTCCTATTTAATGAGACTATTTTGATGATTACACTTCCAGCTTTAAAAAGTAGTATATAAATTTAAGTACAGTATATTTTTTTTTTATTTTTAATATTTTGAAAAAAAGTAAACAAAATTAAAAAAAAATAAAAATATATATATATATATATGAGGTTATGAAATATACGAAATCATAAAAAAACAGAAAATTCTAAAACGTAGTACATTTATATTTACCAATAAAAAAAAGATAATTTTGTAATATATACATTTTTTTTTTTTTTTTTAATTTTTTTTTATGGTATATCTTTTTTAATTTTATTAAAAACAAAATATAGATGAATATAAATATTTATTAAGTTTATTCTTTCGAAAATTTTTCAACTTTTATTATTTAATTTTTTAAGAATTAATAATAATATATTTATTAGAACTTCTGAAAAGTTATGGATTTACATTTTATAAAAAAAAAAAAAAAACTTGTATAAATGAACACATATTATATATATATGAAATATATATTTATATGAAATATATATTTATATGAAATATATATATATATGAAATATATATTTATAAGAATTAATATAATCATAACGTTTTATTATATTAAAATAAATATATAAAGGTTAGTAAAATAACTACAATATTAAATACATCTAAAAACAATTATATGATATTAAGTACAAATAATAATTTTTTATTATAATTATAAAAAGACTGATTATTTATTATGAGTTATGATAAAAAGAATTAAATAAATATTCAAACAAAAGAACGTATTAATATATTAAAAAATATATTGAAATAATTAAAAAAAAAAAATACTAAAGATATTAAAAAAATAATTAAAATAATAATTTTTCAAATTTTTTAAAAATTGAGATAAATTAAAAAAAATACATGTGTGAAAAAATTAAATGCGATAATTATTATTCCATATGTTTTTGTTTGATAATTTATTACTTTTTTAAATATAATTAATAAGACTATAATTTTCTTTTTTTTTAATTAATTCATGTGTTATTTTAGTAAATCATTACACAACATAGATTTCATCTTACTTATTTCAATAAAAGGAATACAAAATTCTCTTTGTTTTTTTTTTTTTTTTTCATCATTTGTTTTTACATTTTTTTCTTTGTAATAAACTTTACTATGTATTAACAACTTAGAAGTATAATCATTAGTGTAATTATAATTTTCATTTATACATTTATCATTATGGAAAATAGAAATAAACATTGTACTTTAAATAATTGTTACTACATCTTTATAATATACAAAAGTAATTAATTTTAATATTTCTTAATCTCATGTATTATATATATATATATATAATTTTAAAATATTTTTATTTTTCTAAATCTAAAATTTAAATATTTTATTATATAATTTTCAGTAAAGATATTATCTAAAAAAATAGTAATATACATTAAGATCTTATTATTCTATTATCCATTCATATTATATATAAATAATCATAATACTTCGATAATTTTTTATAAATTTTTATTTTTTCTAAATTAACAAATATATATAAAAAAAAAAAAAAAAAAAAAAAAAGCTTAATAATATTCATAAATAAAATTAGTTTTCTAATATATATATTTTTTAGTCTAAAAATATAATTTAAGAATATAATATAAGAATACTATATTAATATAATAATATATAATATTAAATGAAAAAAAAATAGAAATAAAATAATTTGTTTTCTATAATACGTTAGTCAATTTAAAAAAATAATCATAACTTATTAGAACCTCAAGTTAAAACAAAGAAATGAGATAAAAATTACACAAGATTAATATATTCCATATATATACACACATACAAAAAAAAAAAAAAAAAAAAAAAAAAAAAAAAAAAAAAAAAAAAAAAAAAAAATAAATAAATAATCTAAAAAATAAGGAATAAAATATATATACAATTATATTAGTTTATATTTAATGTATATATAATAAAAAAAAAAAAAATAAAAAATAATAAATAAATATAATAAATAATGAATAATAAATTAAACTATTTATTTAAAACTATTTGTAAAATTTTTAATAATTTAAATAAATATAAAAAAATATTGAAAACTATTCTTTTTTTTTTTTTTTTTTTTTTTTAATTACCTTTTTTATGATAAATTTAATATATAGATTTATAGAAAAATGTTTAAAATTTTTATAGTTTTAAGTTGAATTATTTGGATGATTAAATTTAAATAAACTTATAAATAGATATTTGAAATATATATATATATCAATTAGCAATTTATATAAGGAAAAAAATAATTTCATTAAAGTAAATAAATTACAGTGTGTATATATATGTTATAAAGAGAGACATTTAATTAGAAGAAAAAAAGGAATAAGTTTAAAAAATTATTATTTTCGATATGATATAAGAACCTTTTTTATTTAATTATATATATTAATTTTTAATAAATGTAATAAATTCTTAGAAATATAATATATATAGATTTCTAAAATTAATTAAATATTTTGAAATATAAGTGTAAGCAAATATAAGATAAAAATTATAAATTTCAAATATTTTAGTCATGTACCTTTTTAATCATTTTGATACTTAAATTTTCTTTTTTTTAGGAATAGAAAATAAATCGTACATTTTTAACCTTTTTAAACTAATCCTTCATTTTAATCTTAAAAAAAGATAAATAATTTTATTATTTTTTTTTCATTCTGTTGTATAACAATTTATAATATTTACATTCGTTTTAAGTTAATGTATAAAAAGACATATATATTTAAAAACAAAATATTTCTATAAAAAATTTTCATAATTTTTTTTTAGAAATTATATTATCTTTATTGTAAACATAGCAATCATTAGAATCATTTTCCATCTAATTCTCTTTTACCAAAATAAGACACTATTATATTTAATATGGGTAAAAAATTTTAAAGTGTTATATATTTTTCTAGTATTTTTACAACACTTTAAAAAATAATTAAAAAAACTTCAATCCTCCTTCTGATATGTATCAAAAATTTAGTATAATTAGAAGATATGTATTTAAGAAAATATATATGAAAGATTGCATAATTAATACTTTAAACACGGATGTATTCTTAGTGATTTTACATAAATTCTTTTAATATCATATATATTACTGATTTAACAAAAGAAAATTTTTAAAAAATTATTCTCTAAAAATCATTCTTTGATATATATAATTATTTTTATGAGTTAATATATAATTTTGTTCTTTTATAAATTTTTCTTTTTTTTTTTTTTTTTCTCATTTTCATTTTATATTACTGCTAACATTTTTTTTTACTTTGATATAGTTTCATATATTTTATTTAGAGAGATATTCTATTTTTATACTTTGAATACTTTTGAATAATATAGTAAAATTTTAAAATTTATTCCATTGAATTTTATAAATATTCAAAATTCAATTTTTTTAAATTAATTCTAAGTTGTTATAATTTTAATAATTTTATTTTATCATATATAAATATCATTATATCCTTTATATGTGTTTTTTTTTTTTTTAAAAAACAAAATTAGACGAAGTTATTAAGATCTTTTATAAAAGTGTTCTTTTGCAATCTTATCATTAATATGTAAAGAGAAGTATATAGTTATTAATATATTAGTGCATTAAAAAAAAAAATAAAAAAAAAAAAATAAATAAATAAATAAATACTAAAATGTAAGGTAATAATATAGCATTTGCAAATACACATTTCTTTAAGTAATTTTTTATATTTAGTATTCTTATAAGAATAATATACAATAATATATATAAATTAATTATAAGAGTAACACTTCAATTTTATTATGTAATTATTTTCTATTTTTTAATTTTTATACAAATTTTTGAATTTTTTATATTTATTAATTGTAGTGCATTAACTATTTTTTCTTTTTCTTAAGCATATATATTTGTTCATATTATTTTAAAAGTATATAACTTTTTTTTTTTTTTTTTTTTTTTTTTTTTTATATTTGTTGAACTTATATTTAAAAAGTAAAAAATAATTTTAAAATTGAATATTATTCTATAATAAAAGTATACGAAAAAAAAAAAAAAAACAAAAAAAATGAAGTAAAAAACATTTTAATGTACTTTTATTAAGTTTATGTTTTTCATATTTAAATAAAACATATTGAACATAACTAAAGCACATGTATTATGTATATATTCTTATTATGAAAAAAATTATATAGATTAAAATATTTATCATATATTAGGATAATTTTAATAAGCACATGGTTTTATTTATATTAAAAAAAAATAGATATATATATATATATATATATATATATATATATATATATATATATATATATAAAATCGAGTATTTAAAAGAATATATTCTCATAATAACTGACATAAACATAATATAAATAAATTAATAAAAAAAGGGGAGAAGAGTAATTAATAAAACTATTTTTTTTAAAGTATATTGAGAAATATTAACATAATAGTTACAAATCAGAAAATTTATTTTTTTTTATAAAGCACTTACTTTTTTTTTTTTTTTTTTTTAAATGAGATAAAAATACAAAGTATATTATCTTTTTTATTAAAAATATTTTTTCGAAAAAACTTCAGTGGCACACTGTAAAGACATAACCTTTTTAATGAAATAATTAATTTTTACAAAAAAATGAACTTTTTAATTTTATAATTAAAAACTAAATTAAAATTGAAGATTAAAATTTATCTTTCATTTTTATTAATATTAAATAAAGTGAAATATATATAATGAGAAATATATCTATTTAATATCTTATCATTTTGTATTTTTTCAACTTTTTATTTAAATTTACGAGTGTATATTCAATGATAAATTTTAGCATGTTGTTAACATGTGTAAGAAATATATTCGATTATAATTTTTATGATATTTAATACTTTTTTATCAATGAGGCTTATTA